GAACGCTGGCTCTTCAAGATGAAGCGTCCTCCTGGAGAGCCGCCTGTCTTCAAGACATTCTACGTCGCTCGAGGCTTCAGACTGCGTGAGGGGTTGGACTTCTTTCAGGCCTTCGCCCCGACCCCGAAGATGACCACTCTTCGGGCACTGCTACACATAGCAGCACATCGTGACTACGAGCTTCACTCCCTCAACTTCTCCACAGCTTTCCTCCAGGCAGTCTACATGTGTAGGTCTACCTGCGCCACCCCTAGGGCTTCTCCGGTACCTTTCCCCCTGGCACCGAGTCGCTCCTCCGGCGTCCCGTCTACGTCTTGCGACAGGTGCCCCGTGAGTGGCATGCCACGCTGCATGCTGCACTTGCTGACTTGCAGTTCTTCCCTTTGTCTGCAGACCCCTCGCTCTTTGTCCATTCTGGCCTGACTCCTTTCTACATCCTTGTCTACGTAGACAATCTGGTCTTTGCTACTGCAGACAAAGACGCACTGGCCGCCGTGAAGGCCGAGCTGCTAAGGAGACACACATGCACTGACCTAGGAGAGTTGCGCTGCTACTTTGGCTTACAGATCTCCAAGGACAGACCAACGTGCACAATCACTCTCTCACAGTCACACTTGGTGCGCCAGGTCCTTCAGAGGTTCGGCCTTCAGTTCTCTTCCACACAGCCGGTGCCTCTATCAGTAGACCACAGACTCTCTGCCCAAGTCCCTGAGGAGGCTGTAGAGCCTAGTGGTCCCTACGCAGAGTTGGTGGGTTGCCTCATGTACCTGATGACTTGCACTCATCCAGATCTCGCATACCCTCTCAGCATCATGGCTCGCTTTGTGGCCCCAGGCAGACACCAACCACAGCACTGGTCGGCAGCTAAGAGGGTTTTGCGTTATCTAGCAAGTACATCCCGCATGGGGCTAGTGCTAGGAGGACGGAGACCAGTGGTCCTTACTGGGCACACAGACGCTTCTTGGGCAGACAACGCCAAGACTCTCAGGTCCTCACAGGGCTACTCGTTTAGCCTTGGTGCAGATGCCATCTCGTGGAGGTCCATCCGTTCCTCGTCTATTGCCCAGTCTAGCTATGAGGCTGAGATCTACGCAGGTTCCATGGCGGCACAGGAGCTCCGCTGGCTGACCTTCTTGCTCACCGACTTGGGTGAGTGGCCTAGCTCTGCCTCGGTTCTGTACGCTGACAACAGGGTCATGATCCTTCTGTGTCCGGAGCCACAACTTGAGGGCAGAGCGAAGCACATCCAGCTGTGGTACTTCCTCTTGCACGAGCTGCAGCAGCATCGCCAGGCTCGTGTAGTACACTTGGCCTTAGGTGCCAACGCAGCTGATATCTTTAGTAAGGCGCTTGCGCCTAAAGATCATCAGCAGCACTGTGTACAGCTAGGTCTCGTTCCTGTAGCCTCTCACTTGCTAGGACCTTGATTGTGTACAGACCTTTATATGTATTACCCTGACTGGCCTTGTGGCCTCTTCCTAGTGGCTGGACTAGTAGTGTCACCCTGGTCTTGCTCTTGCCTTGTCTGTACTTGTTTGACTGGACTTTAGACCCCTGCCTCAGAGGCTGGACAAGTAGTGCCACCCTGAGCTGTTTCTCTCTCATCGGGCACTGCCCCTATCAAGTCTGGGGGGTGTGTCAAACATATATTGTATGTTTCTGTAGACTATATAGGGTTGTGCCTTAGGGAGTACAACCCATTAGGTTATATTCCCTTGTATGGTATGTCTTGTTCTAGATATTCTTTCACTTGAACAAGGGGGGGGGGGGGGGGGGGGGGGGGGGGGGGGGGGTGGTTGTCCCCTCTATTATAGGATCCAGTTATGTAGCACATCTACGAAGCCTACACAAATATATATATATATATATACATACATAATATATAATTTGACACTAATGCCTATCTGTAGTGCACTCGTTTCTTGGCATTTACAATCCTATGTGGTATTTAGATTCACGATTTTTTTTTAGTATGCCATGCGGTCCAATTGTTTCATCCGCCGTACTTATCGACGCGATGGAGCAGTTAGACATTTTGATTCACACTTTGGAGTTGGATTGAACAGTAAACTAAAAAAAAAAATGTTCATGTCAGTGCTCCGAAATGTGAAACCTGTCAGATTATATTATGTATATATATATATATATATATATATATTTGTTTAGGCTTGGTAGGTGTGCTATATTGCTGGATCCTACTGTAGAGGGAACAACCCCCCCTTCTTGTATCTCTTTCTCTTCCTAGTTGCTTATCTTTTCTCTCGTAACTCTTCCCGCCTAGCTAAGCCTCTCGACATTCTCCTATGCCTAGCTTCTTCTAGGCTTCAACGTCTTTCAACATGGTTTCACAGCAGGACCTTCCACCCGGGCCTTCTCCTCACGCTTTCGTAGCGTACTCTCCTCCCTCCTGTCACTTCCGCGCAGCTGTGGCAACCATGTCGTGCTGCCATGGCGGCTTTATCGTGCTGCCGTGGCAGCCTCGACATGCTACCATGGCGTCGACGCCACGCCGTGGCGGCGTCGTCGTGCTGCCGTGGCATCGACGCCACGCCGTGGCGGCGTCGTCGTGCTGCTGTGGCGTTGTCGACACGTCATCGCACGGGCGACAGCGGGCCACGCAATGTTTTAGGCGCCAACCGTATGCCCGCACGACAGCCAGCGCGCCAGCCAAGGCGCCTCGCTGAAGCCACGCCCCCCCCCTCCCCTGCGCCACCCCTCACTCCAGCTGCAGCTGATGATTCTCTTCCCGGTCATCGCCAGGTCGTGCCACACCGCCGGGTGTCGCGAGCTTAGCAGTCGCCGCCGCCATCGTCGAAGTCGCCGGCGCCGATGCAGGTGCAGCTGGTTCCGCCGCCACCCGCTTCGCTGTCGTCGCTGTCGTCGTCGTTGAAGCCACCGCAGACGCCTTCGCTGACACCCGCCGGGGGTGTCCCCGCTTCGCACGAGGGTTGGACGCCACAGCTGCTGAAGGGCATGGGGGTGCAACGGTTTGGGGGTGTTGCGTGTTGGGTGGGCTTTCGACTACCAAACCAAAGGGGTGTGTCAAACTATATATTTTATATATATATATATCTATATTTGTTTAGGCTTGGTAGGTGTGCTACATCGCTGGATCCTACTGTACAGGGGACAACCCCCCCTTCTTGTATCTCTTTCTCTTCCTAGTTGCTCCTCTTTTCTCTCGTAACTCTTCCCCCCTAGCTAGACTTCTCGACATTCTCCTATGCCTAGCTTCTTCTAGGCTTCAACTTCTTTCAACACAACCGATTTTATAGGGTTGCTAAGCAACCCAAAAAACACACAAAACGTTCCTGCCGTTTAAAGGCATCATCCTCAGGCGCATACGCCTGCGGTTGTAGGCGTATAGCGACACGCCTTCTTGACCTAATCCACCTCTGTCACGATAGGCTAGGTAGCTAGGAAGGGAAGGCAGCCATGGAATGGCGTGAGGTTTTAGGCTAGGAAAGTTGACGAGAGAAAAGAGAGTAAGAATAGAAGAGAGAGGGATACAAGAAAGGGTGTTGTGCCCACTACAGTAAGTTTCAGTAGCACCTACCAAGCCTACAATTATATAACTAGGCTTGGTAGTTGAAGAACCAACACATACCCACACCCCCTAACCTAGCACCCCCATTTCCAGCAGCAGCCGCGATGACTCCGGAATCGGTCAACACCCACAACCTGGGAGATGGCGATGGCGGCAGGCACAGCAGTGACGAGAGCAACGGCGGCGGTGTCTGGCGGCAACTGGCCAGCGGCAACAGAGGCGGTGGCGGTGGCTTCAACGTCAGAGGCTGCTGCAGCGGCACCCGCCCTCACGGCGGCATGGCCAATCTCATAACGGCTATGGGAAGGCCCTCACGAGGCAGTCGACGGCTGTGGCAAGGCAAAGGGGACGCAGGGGAAGGAGGGGGGGGAGGGGGGGGGGGGGGGGGGGGGTGATCTTGAATGACGCCCGTGGCAGGCGAGCGGGCAGCAAGTCTAGCGGCGCCACAGGCGTTGCGCGGTCGGCTGCCGCTCGACGGCGCCGCCACCGCAGCATTACAACGCCGCCACAGTGCGGCGTCGATGCCACGGCGAGACGTCCATGCTGCGACGGCAGCACGACGGCGCCGTCACTCCGCCACGGCTGGACGTCGACGCCACGACAGCGCGACGCCACGGCAGCGCATCGAGACGGCCGTGGCACGGCGCGGTCAGCGGCACGACAATGTCGTCAAGCTGCCATGGCTGGAAGTCGATGCCACGACAACGCAACGCCACGGCAGCGCGTCGAGACGGCCGCAGTACGACGCGGTCAGCGGCACGACGACGCCGCCACAGCAGCACGACGCGGCCGCCATGGCACCGCGAGAGGAAGAGGAGTGCATGGCGGAAGCGTAGGGAGCAGGCCCGGGAAGGGCGACCTGCTCTGATACCATGTTACGATAGGCTAGGTAGCTAGGAAGGGAAGGCGGCCATGGAATGGCGTGAGGTTTTAGGTTAGGAAAGTTGATAAGAGAAGAGAGGGATGCAAGGAGGGGTGTTGAACCCTCTACAGTAAGTTTCAGTAGCACCTATCAAGCCTACAATTATATAACTTATATATAATTTTGAACAACCTCTTCCCATCATCAGTCCGCAAAGCTGTCACCTTTTTACAGCAGCACAAATGCATATGTGCAGTGCACTCGTTTCTTGGCATTTACAATCCTACGTGGTGTTTAGATACACGAATTTTTGTTAAAATATGGTCCAATTGTTTCATCCGCCGTACTTATCGACGCGATGGAGCAGTTAGACATTTTGATTCACATTTTGGAGTTGGATTGAACAGTAAACTACAAGAAATATTGTTCATGGCAGTGCTCAGAAATGTGAAACCAATTTCATAGGGTTGCTAAGCAACCCAAAAAACACGCAAAACGTTTCTGCCGTTCAGGGGCGTCATCCTCAGGCGCGTACGCCCGCAGGTCTAGGCGTTTAACAACACGCATTCCTGACCTAATCCACCACTTCCCATCATCAGTCCGCAAAGCTGTCACCTTTTTACAGCAGCACTCGCAGGATAAGCGTACCGCTCAATCGCTTGCCCTCCCCGATGATCGCTCACCGGCCACCGTTATAATAGCCGCTTGCACCGTCGCTGTCGCACAGTCGCTTTGTCGCAGTCACTGTCGCCGCTCGCGTTGTCGCCGTCGCACTGTCGCCCTCCAGGGCCACAGGCGGCTCAGCGGCTCTGCAGGGCCGCGCAATGCCGAGCGCGCAATGCCAAGCGCGAAGCCCCCGCCGCTAGGGCATTCGATTCGCCGCGGCTACTAGCGACCAGCGCAATGCATCTTCCTCGGGACTTTAAAAGACCGCGCCTCGCGAGAATGGCGTTACCAGAATCGCGGCCGCAGCTCGCGCGAGGCGTGGGCGCGCTGCGCGTGCTGCACGTGGTGCTGGGCGCCTTGGTGCTGTCGACGCCTGCGCGGTGGGGGCGGGCGGATGCGCAGCAGCAGCACGCGGGGGAGCAAGGTATTGCGGGCGAGGGGAGTGGCGTGTCGGGTAAAGCGGGCACCATCAACTCGCTTATTCGCTCCTATCTCTCCGTCCATTCCTCGCCCTCGCGCCCATCCGCCCCCGCTGATCTCTTTGCCGTCTCCCTTGTGTCATCTCCCTTGTGTCATCTCCCTCGTCTCGTCTCCCTTGTGTCATCTCCCTTGTGTCCTCTCCCTCGTCTCGTCTCCCTTGTGTCATCTCCCTCGTCTCGTCTCCCTTGTGTCATCTCCCTCGTGCCGTCTCCCTTGTGCCATCTCCCTCGTGTCTTCTCCCGTGTGTCGTATCGCTTGCTCCATCTCCCTCTCCTGCCCTGCTGAATGGCCCCTCGCTGCAGGGGTGCAGCAGCACACGCCAGCCAACACGCCAGGCAGCGTCAGCCCTCAGCCGTGGTCTCTGCCCTTCCACCCATAACCTCCCCACAGCCCCCCGCCCTCTCTCCCACCCCACCTGACTTCCATGCTCCTCATCTCTCTCTTCCCCTCTCTCCCTCCCCTTCTCCCTCCCCCTCCCTCCCTCCCACTCCCAACCTCTCCCCTCCCTCCCCCACGCTCTCGCCTCCCGCCTCTCGTCCCTCGCCCCCCCGATGCTGGAGCCCGCTCCGTCCAGTCGTGTGAATTGAGTCCGCGTCTCATTCCACGCTGTTGACCCGTCACCCGTCACCCATCACCCGTCACCCGTCACCCGTCACATCTCCAGACACGCGCTCCCCTCCTGTCATACCTCCCCTTCGTTTCCCCCCTTTGCATGCCATCCATGCTCCATGCGCCGCATGCTCCATACCATGCATGTCCCATGCCATGCATCTGTGCTCCATGCCATGCATCTGTGCTCCATGCCATCCATCTGTGCCCCATGCCATGCATCTCCCATGCCATCCATCTGTGCTCCATGCCGTGCATGTCCCATGCCATCCATCTGTGCTCCATACCATGCTTGCCCTATGCCATCTGTGCTCCATACCATGCTTGCCCTATGCCATCTGTGCTCCATACCATGCTTGCCCTATGCCATCTGTGCTCCATACCATGCTTGCCCTATGCCATCTGTGCTCCATACCATGCTTGCCCTATGCCATCTGTGCTCCATGCCATGTCATCCGTGCTGTGGCTGAGATGGGAACACACAGGTCGTCGATTCCACAGCAGCAGAACCCACAGCATCAGGGAGGGGTGCAGCAGCCGCAGCGGGAGGTGCAGCGGTGGTATTTGGACAACAGCGAGCTCGAGTCGTTCCTCAGGGGCTATGTGGACCGCTGCAGCCACATGGCGCGATTGTACAGGTCCGTGATGCTGCCACATGGCACGCCTCTACAGGTGGGTACACGGGTCAAGGTTTTGGAATGTCTCTAGCTCATTTGCAAGTGCCCACGCTGCAATCTTGCTCTTTTTTTCGCTCTGTGGTTCTCCGCGACCCAGGAGCACTGTTGCTTCGATGTTGCTTACTCTTCAACCCCCTCTGCATGCTCCTCTCCCGCCCACCTCCCATGTCCCTCCCTCCCTCCCTGCAGCATCGGTCGCAGTGTGCTGGGTGTGCCCCTGGTGAGTGGCGTGCAAGGAGAGCGCGCAGAGTGTGGCAGGGTGAAGTGAGCGAGTGCGTGAGTGAGTGTGAGTGCCTTCAGCGTGCTGTGAGAGCTGTCATCCAATGCAAAGCGCGTGGCTGTGCGTTCTTCCTTTCTGTCCATCTTCCCATCCGTGCCCTCTCTCATCCTCCCTCCCGTCTCCCTTCCCTCACCTCCGCACCTCTCTCCCTCGCTCGCCCCTCTTCCCTCCCCACCCCACCCGCTCTCCCTGTCCGCCCTGCGTGGCAGTGGGTGCTGCTCATAACGCTGAATCCGGGTGACAAGCGCCCGCGCTTCACATTCAAGGTGCCACGCCTCTCCACCGCCTCCCCCTCCGACCCCAACCTCCTCACCACTACAGGACCGCTGCACATTTTGCCCTGCCTCACTGCCTCATGTTAGGTTGTACTTGCTCTTCTGCACCTCTGCCTCTCGGCTTGCCTCACTGCCTCATGTCTATGTTGGAAAATACCCGTATTGCGTTTATACGCTAACGTATATACGCTTGGGTTTGGGGTCCAATACGGCAGGAATACGCATGCCCGGGCAGGAAAAAAGGTTTGCCCGGGCAGGGTAACAAAACCAGGGGGCAGCAAGGAAGCCATGATGGGAGCGGCTAGGCTAGGGTTTCTGAAAACGTGACTCTCAAATGAGGCATTTTCTGAGGGGTCGAATTTTGACCTGCCAATTCCCTCCCTTTCACCGCACTCAACCCCCCCGTCTACAACGTCAAATTTTCTTCCAGCCAACCAACTCCCTCCCTTTCACCGCACTGAACTCCCACCCATCTACAAACTCCAACCTTTCCTCACAAATGCTCGACTCTCCCCCCATCATCTCCCCCATCGTTTTGGTAGAAGACCAACAAGCACCGTAACTCGCGCAATCTCCGCCACCTAGCTAAGCACACCACCGTTTCGCTTCAGAGCTGAGATTTGGACGGAAATGGGGAACGACAAACACGGGATGGCTTTCAAACACGTACAGAGCAGGCTGGGCTATGGGCAAAAAGTAATGGGCGAAAAAACCGCGACGTCGCGAAGTCGCGGAAAAAAAAAGGGGGTTTTTTTTTTTGCCTGGCAGCCCAGGTATCGCATATCGCGTATTCCAAGCGTATCTGCGTATTGCGTATATTCGCAAGCGTATATACGCAATACGCAAAGCCTTCTGTGTGTATATTCCAACATAGCCTCATGTTAGGTTGGATTGGGACGCTGCTCTCAGTCAGGGTGTGCAGTGCAGACATGTTGCTCAGTCAGGGTGTGCAGTGCAGACATGTTGCTTATTGCACCTTTTACCGTCTCCGTTGCTGCCCGCCTTTCCCCCCCTGGCAGTACATAGGCGGAGTGCACGGGGACGAGCCGTTGGGGCGGCAGCTGTTGCTGTACCTGGCTGACTGGCTGTGCGCCAACTACCCTGCGCACCCTGCCGTGAGTCCAAGGCACCTCAATCAACTCTGCCATAACTTGCTCTCATGCCCCTCCACTTGTGATCTAAGCTATTGGATGGATCCTGTTTTGAAGTTGCGAGATTGATGAGAACCCATTGCAGCTTTCACCCTGGACGTGTGTGTGTGAGCGATGGAGCATGCATGCGTTCAGCCAGGCAGGCGGGCGGTGGATGGGTGGGTGTGCGCTTGTGTGTGGATCATGTGCATGTGCATGTGCATGGGCATGGGCATGTGCATGTGCGTGTGCATGTGCATGGGCTTGTGCATGGGCATGTGCATGTGCATGTGCATGGGCATGGGCATGTGCATGTGCATGTGCATGGGCGTGGGCATGTGCATGTGCATGTGCATGTGCATGGGCGTGGGCATGTGCATGTGTATGTGCATGTGCATGGGCGTGGGCATATGCATGTGCACTGGTGTTGGGCGTGGAAAGGCGATGTGTGTCTGTAAGCCAGAGCAAACCCGCTATGTTTTCCGGCATGCTTGTTTGACGTGGGGGCTGGTGGGAACGGGACGAGGGTGGGGGGAGGGAGGGGGGGGAAGGAATGGGGTGAGGGAGTGAGGGCAGGGGGCACGGACGTGGTGGGGGTGGTGGGGTGTGGTGGTGGGGGATGCGGCATGCGGCATGGCAGGCGCGGGAGATAGTGGAGGGCATGGAGCTGCACGTGCTGCCCGCCATGAATCCGGACGGCTTCGCGTTGCACACGCGGGAGAACGCCAACCGCATCGACCTCAACCGCGCCTTCCCGGACCCCGTCAGTGCCGCCCCGTGCCATGCCTTCCCTTTTCTGTCAATGTGCATCTCTCTGTTGTGCATCTCTCTGTTGTGCATCTCTCTGTTGTGCATCTCTCTGTTGTGCATCTCTCTGTTTTGCCTCTCTCTGTTGTGCATCTCTCTGTTGTGCATCTCTCTGTTTTGCCTCTCTCTGTTTTGCCTCTCTCTGTTGTGCATCTCTCTGTTGTGCATCTCTCTGTTGTGCATCTCTCTGTTGTGCATCTCTCTGTTTTGCCTCTCTCTGTTGTGCATCTCTCTGTTGTGCATCTCTCTGTTGTGCATCTTTCTTTTTTGCCTATCTCTGTTGTGCATCTCTCTGTTGTGCATCTCTCTGTTTTGCCTCTCTCTGTTGTGCATCTCTCTGTTGTGCATCTCTCTGTTACTGTCAGTGTGCGAGCTGCCATGCCTCACTTGGTGTGCTCGCTGTGACTTCCCGCTGCTACTTCCCGCCATTCCTCCTGGTGCTGCCACTCCACCCTGCCACTCACTCCACCGTGCCGCTCACTCCACCGTGCCGCTCACTCCACCGTGCTGTGCTTTAAAGCTGGAGAATTTGAAGCTTCACGCTAGCATGCGCCCCCACCGCCTCTCATGCGCCCCCACCGCCTCTCATGGCGCCCCCCACCCAGTGGTTCCCGGCAATGAATGCAGCGGAGGCGGGGAGGCAGGCGGAGGTGCGCGCCGTGATGCGGTGGACGCAGCGCCACCACTTCAGTGCGTCGGCCAGCCTGCACGGGGTGAGAGGAGGGGGAGGGGGGGTGCATGCATGGCAGAATAGGATGAGAGATGTATGGATGGTACGTTGTGATGATGTGCTTGTGATGCCATGGACAGCTTTCGTTTCTCCGCCAGCCTGCACGGGGTGGGACTGGGAGGGGCATACGCGCATGTGTGCACGGCGGCATGGCGTGCTGTGAAGGGAGCGTGGTGTTGACATGGACCCACACGCACCAATCCAGCTGCTTCGGCCAGCCTGCATGGGGTGAGGAGGAGGGAGGCGAAAAGGAGTGGTGGACAATATGTGCATGGGGGCGAGAGGGAGTTTGTGTTCATGGTAGCTTCTCAAATGAAATCCGAGGGACTGAGGCTTTGTTGTGGTTCAGTTGTAGGGGGTGGTTGAATGCAAGTGCATTACAGTTGTGAGTGAGTGGCAGAGGCAATGCACAGTGTGGGGGATGGGGGATGTCATTCGTCCTTCTCACTCGTATTGTTGATTGATGTCGCCTAATCTAATCGCTTTCTCCTGCCCTACTCTCTCTCCCCCCCCCCCGGATCATTTGTCCCACTTTTCTCGGTTTCCTTGTGCATCCATCGTTCCTCCTTCCACATCTCACACATCTCTTTTCTCTTTTCTCTTTTCTCTTTTCTCTTTTCTCTTTTCTCTTTTCTCTTTTCTCTTTTCTCTTTTCTCAACATAATCTAGATTAGGGTTGAGCATACTACCCGCCCGGGTCGGGTACCCGGTACCCGGATCCGCTTTTAGGGCGGGTCGGGTATCGGAAATCCTGAATATTACCCGGCGGGTCGGGTCCGGGTTACCCGGGCGGGTATTCAATACCCGGTACCCGAAATGCTACCCGACGCGTCGGGTAGCGGGTACCCGACCCGAAATCGGGTAGCGGTCTACCCGACGGAACCAGCGAGACATTAGTCGCGCTGGTAGAGAAATTTCATCAAGTTCTAGGTTACGTGAGCTGCTAGGTCACTTAGAGCATTGTAGATTGGCAGGGGTTGGGTTTCATAGATACAGATGCATTCAGAGTGGTTGAATTGGGGGGAATTGGTTGGAAGTCAAACCAATCGAATTTGCAACCCAACCTGAATCCAGCCAACCGCACAGCACCACATTGGTTGGAGTTCCAACCAATTGACTCTGGGGGTCAAAGAATCAAACCCCCAAAAACCGCACACAACCCCATCCCAACTAGAAAACCCAACCAACTCCCCACTCAGGCCCCACTCACGACCCACTCACCACACCAGAACTGTTAAAGATTTGGCGCACCTCATACTCCCTCCCGCAGCTCACGTTTTTTGAAGCACTATCTAGGTCGTAGGCTTAGTAGCCCAACAGGGTAGAAAAACGCGGGTAATACTACCCGCTTTTCAAGGAAACCGGGTCGGGTATACCCGGACCCGCCAGGCGGGTATTAAATTACCCGCCCCCAAATCCCGGGTCCGGGTATTGGTCCTGGGCATGTTATCCGACCCGTACCCGACCCAAAAATACCCGACCCAAAGTCGGGTATAGCAAAACCGGGTCGGGTCGGGTAAATACCCGGTTTTGCTCATGCCTAATCTAGATGACCCATTTCTTCTCGCTCCCCCTCGCCTTCCCATTCGCACCCACATCCCACAGGGGGCGCTGGTGGCGAGCTACGCGTGGGACGGCACTAAAGACAAAGGGTACTGCTCCCAGCCCTCCTGCTCCCAGCTGTTCTGCTCTCTCTATGCCCTATTCCGCGCAGCACTGCATTGTGTTTTGTTTGCACGCGACTATTATCCACCTGCATTCCCGTGTCTCATGCTGTGCGCCCGTGCAGCAAGCAAGGCGAAGGCCAGTCAAAGCCACGCACATCCAATCTGCCCACCCCCCACCTCCATGCCCTTGATCGCTCCTTTCGCTCGGCCCATCCATCCCATCCGCTGCTTTTACAGCATGCCGTCTGTGCTCCGCTGTCGTGCTTTGCGACGTCTCAAAGCACGACGATTACAGCGCGCATGCCGGTTGTGTTGCGCTGTGGCCCTCCTTGCCTTGGCTCCTCCTCCCCCATGCCGCCCACCACACGCTACATCAAGGCCCCCCAACACCTCACCTGGTCCCATCGTCACGCCATTCCATCATTCCATCACCGCATTGCCCCATCCTTTCCGCGCCCCTCTTACCTCACAACCCTTGCAATGTGCACCAGTCCGCTTCACTAAAAGGTGCCATTTTTCATGTTACGCCCCTTTGCCTCCCAAGAGCCCATTGTCTCTCATCCCCCTACCCCGAGCAGCACGCGCTGCCCTGCAGCATCACCATACGAGCCACCGTTCATCAAGCCATTGCCCCATACCCCATCATCCCTCCAATCACGTCATCATCACCCCATCGCATCATCATCACCCCATCACGTCATCATCACCCCATCGCCCCACTCCCATCAAACTTCCCATCGCCCCACCACGCCCCTCCGTCCCTCTGGACCAGAGCAGCACGCACTACGCCGCCTCGCCTGACGACGCCACGTTCCGTCTGATGGCGTCCACCTACGCCTCCTCGCACCCCACCATGGGGCTCAGCCGGGACTTCCCTGGCGGCATCACCAACGGCGCCTCATGGTGAGATGGGGCGAGACACGTGGACAGAGGGGGTTGCGATCGTGCCACATGCGCCTGATGCGTGCCACATGCGCCTCTTGGCACCCCTCCTAGCCCTCCATGCATTACCCTGGTGGCATTTCCAACAGTGCCTTATGGTAGCATGGCAAGGGGGAAGGAGAGGGGGGGGAGTGGGTGTGAGCGGATTGTGGGAGGACGAGGGGGCCGGGGGGCTGAGTGTGGGGGGGTGTGGGGAGGACGGGGAGGACGGGAGTGTTTTATTTGCTGAATGGCGCTGCCGTTTGTCTCATGGCACGCCCTGGTGCGCTGTCACTAATGACACCCACTCCATGAGTCTTGATTGGGACTTCCCTGGCAAATTAACCGATGATGCCTTTCGTCATGGTAACAGATTTTGAGTCGACCCAAAAGCAGGTGCTTGTCGTGCCTCCATGCCCTCGGCTCGGTCCATGCCCTTCTACATGCCTCCATCCATGCCTCCATCCATGCCTCCATCCATGCCTCCATCCATGCCTCCATCCATGCCTCCATCCATGCCTCCATCCATGCCTCCATCCATGCCTCCATCCATGCCTCCATCCATGCCTCCATCCATGCCTCCATCCATGCCTCCATCCATGCCTCCATCCATGCCTCCATCCATGCCTCCATCCATGCCTCCATCCATGCCTCCATCCATGCCTCCATCCATGCCTCCATCCATGCCTCCATCCATGCCTCCATCCATGCCTCCATCCATGCCTCCATCCATGCCTCCATCCATGCCTCCATCCATGCCTCCATCCATGCCTCCATCCATGCCTCCATCCATGCCTTCATCCATGCCTCCACCACTCCCTGTGTGCCACGTGGTAGGTACCCCCTGTATGGCGGCATGCAGGATTGGAACTACGTGGTGGCGCACTGCATGGAGATCACCCTTGAGCTGCACATCGCCAAGTGGCCTGCTCCCATCCTTGTATGCATACCTCCTTCACTCCCTGTGCCCCATGCTCATGCTGCCGCCCTCCCCCATGCCCCATCCCTCTGCGCCTGTGATTTAGAAAAGTGATTTAGTAAAGGCATGGCGGGCTAGGAGGGGTGCCAAGAGGCGCATGTGGCGGGCATCGGGCGCATGTGGCGGGCATCAGGCGCATGTGGTGGGCATCAGGCCCCCTTCCCCTCCCCTTCCCCTGCGCCCCCATTCCCCCTACCCCTGCCCGGCTGACAGCTGCCTCAACTGTGGGAGGAGCATCGACCCGCCATGCTCGCACTTCTCACCACCACTGCCAAGGTCCCAAGTTTTTGCCATGCCATGCCTGTGCCATGCCACACCATGCCATGCCATGCCATGCCACGCCATGCCATGCCGTGCCGTGCCATGCCGTGCCACCATGCCCACCACACTCTACAACCCCATACCATACCACCATATGCCTGCCCTCCTCACTGCCACTGCCAAGCTGCCACGCTTTCCTGCAGTGCTGCCATGGCCATGCCGTGCATCGCCCCCCGCACTTTTGCTTCATGCCTCATCATGTCATGCCATCCGACACCATGCCATGTGCGTGGCATAAGATGTCATTCCATGTGATGCCATGCCATGTGATGCCATTCCATGTGATGCCATTCCATGTGATGCCATGCCATGTGATGCCATTCCATGTGATGCCATTCCATGTGATGCCATTCCATGTGATGCCATGCCATGTGATGCCATTCCATGTGATGCCATTCCATGTGATGCCATTCCATGTGATGCCATTCCATGTGATGCCATTCCATGTGATGCCATTCCATGTGATGCCATTCCATGTGATGCCATGCCATGTGATGCCATTCCATGTGATGCCATTCCATGTGATGCCATTCCATGTGATGCCATTTCATGTGATGCCATTCCATGTGATGCCATTCCATGTGATGCCATGCCATGTGATGCCATGCTGGACCCTTCCATCACCTCCTGGCTTCCGTCTGACCCCATCTCTTCTCTCCCTGCCTGCATGTCTGCCCGCATGTCTGTCCACATGTCTGCCCACATGCCCATCTCCATATCTCCCCGGCCTACCTTCCATGCCTCCCATGGTGCGTGCCATCACCCTGCATACCCCCACGCCGCCTGCGCCACGGCCACCAGATGGGTGTGCAAGGCACGGTGCTCTCTGCTGCCACCAGCGCGCCTCTGCCTGCTGCCATCATCGTCCACGGCATAGAGTACAACGTAAGCCATAGTGCGCCTGTCTTTCTGTCTTCACACTACTTTCCGTGGATGCATGGGGTGCATGGGTTGCATGGGGTGCATGGGATGCATGGGGTGCATGGGGTGCATGGGATGCATGGGGGCGCATGGGCTGCATGGGGTGCATGGGATGCATCGGTGGCATGGGGTGCATGGGGTGCATGGGGTGCATGGGGTGCATGGGATGCATGGGGTGCATTGGATGCATGGGGTGCATGGGATGCATGCGATGCAGGGGGTGCATGGGATGCATTGGTGGCATGGGTTGCATGGGATGCATTGGTGGCATGGGGTGCATGGGATGCATTGGTGGCATGGGGTGCATGGGATGCATTGGTGGCATGGGGTGCATGGGTTGAAACATAGGCGCCCACATGCATCAGCAACGCACTGATCCAAAGATCCCATTGCAGCAGCTCTCAGCTCGTTTGCATTGTTCCTTGTCTTTCCCCGCTACCCACCTGCCCCGTGCTCTCCTGCCTGCCTCCCGACGCCCTTCCCTCCAGGGTTAAAAAAAACGCCGTTAAAAAAAATATATATATATATATTAAACGGTATCGAATGAAACGGCCGTTTAATACGGAAAAAACGGTTAAAATTGTGCAAAAATAGGTTGGTTAAAAAAACGGCCGAAATTTCAAAAAAGAAATGCAAAAAAATCTGACGAAATGCGCAGATCTGGCATTTCGCCCGCCCAAATGCACAGATCTGGCATTTTTTCCCACCAAAATGTGCCAGATCTTGCGTTTTTGGTGGACGGAATGTATGGATCTGACGTTTTGTCAGCCGAAATACGCAGATCTAACATTTGGCCCGTCGAAATGCGCGGATCTTGCATTTGGGTGGACGAATGGCGCGGATCTGGCGGACGATTAGGCTGTCTACCAAAAAAAGAAAAAGAAAGAAAGAAAAAAAACTCTATTTAAAAAACGGCGTTTTTTTCCCAAAATCCCCGAAAAAAACGGCCGAATATACGGACCGCATTTTTCGAAAACCATATTTTTTAACCTTGCTTCCCTCGCACACCTCTCCATCCGCCCGCCCACCTGCCCCTCCCCGCCCTCAGGTGCTGCCCTCCAGCCGCCCAGACCTCTTCAAGTCCAACCGCCACTCACAAGCTGGGCTATCAAGTCCACTCACAAGCTGGGCTATCAAGTCCACTCACAAACTGGGCTATCAAGTCCACTCACAAGCTGGGCTATCAAGTCCACTCACAAGCTGGGCTATCAAGTCCACTCACAAGCTGGGCTATCAAGTCCACTCACAAGCTGGGCTATCAAGTCCACTCACAAGCTGGGCCATCAAGTCCACTCACAAGCTGGGCCATTAAGTCCACTCACAAGCTGGGCTATCTGTCCGCCCCTACCCACCCCCCCACTACCCACCCCCCCCCTCCCCACCCCCGGTGGCGTCAGGTCGTGGCATCGAAGCGCTTTGGAGACTTCTACCGCCTGCTGCCGCCCGGGAACTACACAGGTGCGCATGGGGGCTACTCGGCCAGGTGCGCGTGGGGAGGTGTGGGAAGGCGTGTGTGGGGGATGTGTGAGTGCGGAGGTGTGGGAAGGTGTGTGTGGTGGATGTGTGAGTGCGTAGGTGTGGGAAGGTGTGTGCGGGGGATGTGTGAGTGTGGAGGTGTGCGAAGGTGTGTGTGGGGGATGTGTGCGTGGGGAGGTGGGGGAAGGTGTGTGTGGGGGATGTGTGAGTGTGGAGGTGTGCGAAGGTGTGTGGGGGGGATGTGTGCGTGGGGAGGTGGGGGAAGGTGTGTGTGGGGGATGTGTGCGTGGGGAGGTGGGGGAAGGTGTGTGTGGGGGATGTGTGCGTGGGGAGGTGGGGGAAGGTGTGTGTGGGGGGATTAAGGCAGTGCATGAATGACAGCGGGAAGGTTGACAAAGCGTAGAACAGTGGGCAGGAAAGAATGTGTGTGGACTAATGTGTGCAAAATTGTTGAAGATTGGAAAGGTGCGCCATCTTCTTCCTTTGCCGTGCGTTGTTGTGCTTCTGCTCAACCGGGCTCTCCCTCTCTCTCTCGCCCTGCCTTTGAGCCCCCTCGTTGGAGGGGAACGTTTTCTGAAGGTTTCTCCCCTCTCCTGAGCTTCAACTCCTCTACGGTTGCCCTTTGCCCCCGTCCTCACCTCCGCCCCTCTACCATCCCCCCAGTCACCGTGTGTCACCCCGCGCACATCAACCACACCACCAACGTCACAGTGCTCCCCAACCAGCCCACCCTCCTGCGCATCCTCCTCCGCCCCACCTTCCCCCCCTCCAACTCCGCCCCCTCCATCTTCCAAACCCGCTCCGCCCCCCGCTCGCCCCACCCATTGGGCCTTAGTGCCTGGTTACCCTGGCACTGGGGCAGCAGGGTGGGGGCAGACGGGGGAGAGGGGGGGGTGAGGAGAAGAGGGCGGCAGGCAGGGGGGGCAGGGCCTGCAGAGGACCCTTCCCTGGTTCTACCTGCACGGCAGCAGGCGGCTGCGGCGGCGGCGGCGGCAGCGGGGGTGTTGAGCAGCGAGGAGGTGATGTGGGCGGTGGGCATGGGCAGCAGTGCCGCGCTCGCTGCTGCCGTGCTGGCCGTGCTGCTGCTGGCCGCGCTACTCATGATGGTGGGGCAGAGGCGGAGGAGGCTGATGTACTTGCACCGGGGCGTTCCTCTGCGGGTACTGTCCAAGGTGTGACCCTGCTCAAACGACAAGCGTGTGCTGCGCTGCTGCCAGTGCTGGCAGTGCTGCTGCTGGGAGCGCTGCTCATGATGGCGGGGCAGAGGTGGCAACGCCCGCTGCTCTTGCACACCGGTGTTTCCGAGGGCATGTGACTGAAACGAAGAATGCTATGGTCACAAAGGGTGTGGTAATAACGATTTTATTTTTTATGCAACTATAGTTTGCACTTTACCAAAACAACAAGACACCATATCAGATGCCCATGACTCCGTTTCCTCTGAGATTTGCACTTGCGTAGGCCATGAGTGGCCTACTAGACATTATAATACCAACATCCCATGTGATCCACAGCAGCATCTGTGCCATGTGACACTGCCATTGGGCATGACATGTAGATGCACTCAACATCTCTCTACCATGTGTATGTGACATGGCATCACATGAAATCACCTAAAGAAGCCACATCACATCTTCCCTAAACCTCATGTGAGGCAACTGCATAGCATCACAGGTCCTTGCACTCAGTATCCTCCCCTTCACCATCGCCACTGGCATCAGCACGGCCCTCCAGCACGACCGTGCCCCCATGGGTGGCGTCGCATGCGAGGTTCAGCCCCTCCATGAAGCGCACTCTCAGCATGTCGCCAGCCCCGGCCTCCGAGGCATGCACATGCGCGTGCAGGAAGGCGATGTATGCTGCCGCGCGGTCCAGGAGAGTTGCCGTGTCCAGTCGTGCACTGCCGGGGACCAGCGACTGGCAGGTGGGGAAGAGCGATGCGGGTATGGGGGGGCAATGGGACAAAGAGTAAGTATGTGGTGCCATGGGCGATGTATGCTGCTGTGCGGTCCAGGAGAGGTGCTGTGTCCAGGCGCGCCTGCTGGGGCCCAGCGACTGATTTGGGAACGGGCGGAGGGGTGGGGGCTAGAAGGGGAGGGGATGGGACAAAGGGGTTAAAGATGTGGTGCTTTGTGTGCTGTAGGCTGCTGTGTAACACGCACGCACGCACCACCACACACACCACACGCCCCGTGGGGCAATATCCCCTTGCTGCCCGCACCTTGAGCGCGCCCATTCTCGAGCTGATGTTGGCCCGTCTCCTCCTAGCCGCCACGCTCTGCGCGTCCATGGCGGTGCCGCGCTTCTGCCGCTGCGCCGCCTTCTCGCGGTACTGCTCCAACGCCGCTGCCGCTGCTGGGGACATGCACACGCGCCCCTTGCCTTCTCCTTTCTGCCGCTTGGCAGCTGCCTGGCCATCGCCTGCCGTGGTGCCGCCTGCCCCAGCTGATGCCTTTGCTGTCTCTGTCGGCGCACCTGTTGCCCTTGCTGCTGCTGCGTCTGCTGCTGCTGGTGCAAGTTCTGCTGGCATTCCTGCTGCATCAGTCGATGCTCTTGCAGTTGTCACGGCTGCCCCCGCTGCCGATGCTGCTAGTATAGCCGCTGCGGGCAGCGCCTCTGGTGCTGTCGCTGCCACTACCGCCGTGGGTGTTTGGGCGCCTGCCTTGCCGTCGTTGCCACACAGCACCCCCGTCGCCCCTCTGTGCGCGCCCACGATCCTCCTGATGCGCACTGCTGCACCTCCCGCCACTGCCGCACCTCCCGCCACTGCCGCACCTCCCGCCACTCCGCCCGCTGCCCTCTCACCCGCCCCTTCACTGCACCCAGGCTGGCTCTGGGCAGATACGGGCGAGGGCCGACCATATGACGGGGCGGGCGGAGCGCATGCGGGGGAGGGCGAAAGAGCTGAGGGGGAGGGTGGAGCGCACGCAGGGGAGGGCGGAGGGGATGAGGGGTGCGCGGTCAACGGATGGGCAGCGGAGCTACAGGGGGACCAGTTGGGTGGGCGGGGTGCCGATGAGGAAGGGAGTGAAAGTGAGAACGGGAGTGTGAGGGCTGGGAGACGGAGGGGCGAAACTGGGCAAGGCGTGACACTCGTCGCTCGTGTCTGCGCCTGGCAAACAGGCCCAGCGCAGGGAGATGCCATACCGCCGCTTGCGCTTGCCTGCTGCCCACTAGAAGCACTGCGTCTAACGGGAGTCGCCGTTTCGACAAGACCAATTTGGTTGCCGTCTCCCGACGAAACCAGCTCGTCCGCGCGCCGTTTCCGCGTGCCTGGCGGAGGCGGAATGCGCGCAGCCGCGGCAGGCTGCGATAGAAGCACCCGCGCGGACTGAACATGACTCCCCTGACCGTGAACGTCCGCCGCCCTTGCGGAGAGCAGCGGCGGAGCAGCCCCGGAGTGAGAATCCCCGCGGAAGCGGCTTGTCGCTGCAACGGGGGCTTCGTCACTATCACGAGACGGTGGTAGCGCGGTGCTGAGTGGCGGAGGGTCAGGGCGGGCAGAGATAGAGAGGGTCCCTCCGGCCTCGAGCACGGGGAAGAGGCTGGCGGGATCCCATCGGCTAGCTGCGGCGGGGAGAGAGAGGAAGGGCGGTGGGGATGCGGAGTGAGGGGAGGGGGACGTGAGCCCAGCGGCGCGTGGAGAGTGCGAGAAGAGCGGCGGTGGCGACAGCAGCGGGAAGAGCGGCGGCGACAGGGGGAGTAGCAGCCGCGGGGATGACGGGATTGCCATGGGTGATGCCATTGTCGAGGATGCTGGGGGTGGCGTGGCGGCATGGGCGGCCTGGGCGGCATGGGCGGGGGTCAGTTCGGGGAAGAGGTCTTTGATCACGTCGGCCCATGGCGTGCCGCCACTGCCTGAGTCGCTCCTCCCGTTCTCCTCGTTTCCTCGGGCGTTGAAGCTGTGGGCGCCTCGCCACAGCTCGTCTCCAGAAGCCGCGCAGTTCAGCGCCGTCAGCGCTACTCTTGGTAACGAGCCGCCGAACGGAGACCACAAACGCTGGTTGTGCCACGTGTCACTGTCGGGAGGTGGACACGACTCGGAGTGTCCGTAAGCCGCGCTGAGGGGCGTCGCGTTGCCAGCGCTGCTCGCGGAGACCCGAGGAACTGCTGCGGCTAGCGCCGTTTCCGCCGCATGGTCAGCAGCGAAGGCGAACGACTTCAAGTTGTCGCAGCCTGCCACGTCAGGCCGTTCGCCGTTGATCAGCAACTGCCAGCCGTTCTGGGGCTCGTCTCCGACGTCGATTTCAGCCCTCGAGTAAGGCGCGCTCGTGGAAAACGACGCGGCGAGGAGCGGAAGACCTTGGTCCGGTTGACCCGGCTGACCCGGCTGACCCGGACCGAGAGTCCGGGGTGTTCCAATCCGGCGTTCTGCCAGTGGGGGAAGCCGGAGAAACGAGACGGTATCATTGTGCTCCAATCCACCGGCGCGCCCGCTCCCATCGTCAGCCACGTCGCATCCGCGGCTGGTTTTTCGTCTACAGCCGTACGTTGCGCTATCGCCGCTATTCGCCATGTTCTCGTCGCCGTCGCCGTGATCCCACTCGCCGCGCCCGCAGCTTCGCGCCGCAACGCAGTTCCCCGAACCGCACGACTCTTGAGCCTCCTCTTGCAGGAATGCGCTCCGCGACCCAAAGCCTTGATCGATGACGTGCTGAAGCTGAATACGCGTCGCAGCTTCGTCGGGGAAATTTTCCACGGGGATTCTGACGGCATTGCGTTGCTTCAACGCGTGTGTACAAGAACCAGTCAGCGCCATCATGGGGGCTTCTGGCTGGTACTAGCTCTGGATGAATTTACTTATGCAGACGACCAGCAATCGTAGGGCGTAGCGTTACATCTCCTTCACAACCTTGCTAGCTCTCATCAGCAAGTTTGTTATGACAAGAGTGCTCGCCTAAATACAAGGTCGCGTGTGGCGGGGATGGAGGCATTAGAATGCAGCGCAGCAATAATTTTGACTTGTGGTGAAATCGGAGCCCGGTCAGGTTGGGTTCGGTCGGCGCGGCGCGTGAACCGTACATACAGAACCAATAATCTCAGTGGGTGCTGCCGTGATGCACGGCTAAATTGCTCCAATAATTAGGCGACTCGGGGGGATCCATGAGCAGGCCCATGGCGTCTCGGCGAGAGCACCCACTGGATAAACACTAAAGTACACTGCTTAATGTGATAATTATTACGGAGAATTTACTCTTTATCAATCCCTCTCTGTTTCAAAACACATTTCGTCCTCGGTGGTAGATTAATATTTGATATGAGTTGAATATTTAAATCAGTTTTTTTAGATATCTCACGTTGTGGACTACTTACACATCTATCCATGCAAACCAAGATGGTTATTTTCTAGTGCCAAGATCATCTAGAACGTTCAACTGGCTAAGACAAGGATTTCTTATATGTGACATGGACCATCCCCAATGTGGCAGGCATAGAAAACACCTAATTACACGTCAAGTGACCAGGAAGAAATATCTTTACCCTAGGAACTTCAGGGGTGAATCAATAGAGTTGACAGCTAGTGATGCTACAACGGGTATCCCATTCAAAATCTCTCATGGCCTGTCTCCTCCCAACGCATCCAACCACACCTCTCTTGGGTTCCAACTTTCCTTGATTCAAACCGATCAGGCAAACCAGTTTCATCCAATCGCACTGCGTTCACCGCACCACAAGTTATCCCCATTCGTCGCACTTATTCGCACGTCGTCGCACCCTCCAACCTTTTCCACTGCACATCCACCTGTCGAACGTCTGCCTGTCGCACAGGCACTCGGACCGAGTTGGTCGCACGCCATGGTCGCAGGTGACGACTCTGCGACGCTGTTCGGCGTGTCGCGCCCGCTGCTCACCTTCCTCGCGTGCCTCCTCTCCTCCATCCCCGCCGCTGCTCTCGTGCCGCTCCTCCCAACGCCCTCCGCCCGCCACGCCTACAATGTCGCCGTCGGCGCTGCCACGTGTTGGTTTGCCTATGGCGGAATGAGAGGTGCGCATGCTGGAAGGGGGGGAGTGGGGGGGAAGGGGGAGGAGGGAAAGTTGAAAGAACGCACAGCTGCGGATTTCGAGGGGAAAGGGGAGGATAGGATGGCGGGTGGAGGAAGGGATCATGCCGGGTAGCTTCTGGACATGAGGAGCGTCTGGGAGAGGGATGGCGGATGGGCAAGGGATCGAGATGGGGCAGATGGGGTGGATGGGGCAGATGGGGCGCGGAGGAAGGGAAGGGTAATGGCGCTCCTCTCTGTCGCTGCACTGCCCTCCTCTCTGCGCCCCTCTGTCCGGATCAACTGCAACATGCAGGCGTGACCAGGGCTGACGTGCCGGGTGCACGTGGTGAGATGAGGAAAGGTTGCACCTTTCGCCTCTCCTCCACCCGCCGGGCTAGCACGCCCGAGGGCGCCTTGAAGCACTTGCCTGCAGCAGTCGGGGCGAGGCGGCTCTTGGATTGGCGTACAGCACGCGGTGTAGAGGGGCAGAAGGGCAGAGGGGCAGAGGGGCAGAGGGGAAGAGGGGCAGAGGGGCAGAGGGGAAGAGGGCAGAGGGGAAGAGGGCAGAGGGGAAGAGGGGCAGAGGGGCAGAGGGGAAGAAAGACGAGGGGAAGAAAGGCGGAGGACAATTCGGAAGAAGGGAAGAGGGCAACGGGCACACGTGTGTGGAGCTGCTGATGAGCAGAGGAAGGAGAGGGATTACGCATTCACGAGACGCTGAGCTCAGAGAGAGAAAGAGAGAGAGAGAGAGAGAGAGAGAGAGAGAGAGAGAGAGAGAGAGAGAGAGAGAGAGAGAGAGAGAGAGAGAGAGAGAGAGAGAGAGAAAGAGAGAGAGAGAGAGAGAGAGAGTGGGAGGATGTGTTGTGGATAGCCAGTGAGACGAGCTCTGTGACCAGCCTGGGGTGACGGGCAAGGCAACGAGGAGATGAGTGGAGGAGAGAAGAGCGCTTCCCTTGCTGCTGCGCTGACATTGATCTTCTGTTCCCTTGCTGCTGCGCTGACATGGATCTTCTGTTCCCTTGCTGCTGCGCTGACATGGATCTTCTGTTCCCTTGCTGCTGCGCTGACATGGATCTTCTGTTCCCTTGCTGCTGCGCTGACATGGATCTTCTGTTCCCTTGCTGCTGCGCTGACATGGATCTTCTGTTCCCTTCGCTTTGACACACCACCCCCATGCATGCCTACAGCGAGTGCCGCTATTTGGGGCCTGGCCCTCTCGTCCTATGCAGCCTGGTGCACGTTCCTCCACCCTTTCATTCCGTACGCGTCCCCCTATCCCCTCCCCCCATGCCCGCGGCGAGTGCCGCTATTTTGGGGCTGGCCCTCGCTTCGCATGCTCCCGTGTGCGTGCTCCCTCCTCTTTCACCTTCCGTAACCCCCATCCCCTCCCCCGATGCCTGCAGCGAGCGTGGCCATATGGGGCCTGACCCTCGCGTCCTACGCTGCCATGTGCGCGCTGCCTCGCTGGCTGAGCGGGCACCTCGTCTTCCTCGCCACCTTCTCCTTCCTCATCCTCTCGTCAGTTCACCACCCGTGCCACCGCTTGTCCTTCTCTCATCATCCCTCATCCCAACTGCTCTTCTCTCTGCCGCTCCTCCCACCAATCCACAACTCCCCACTTCTTCTGCTGCTCCCAGTAGTCGCCCCGCCCCCCCCCCGTCCTCGCTCGCCTGCCCCACACTCTTCTCTCAATCCAATGAGCTTTCGATGCTCTCATCTTCCCATCTCCCATGCCTCCTCTCTCTTTCTCTCCCACATCTGTCCTCGCTACACGCATCCCCTGCCGTGCCCCACCAGGCACGTGACGAGCCTGGATGCGAGTGCGTGGAGGAGGGGCGACATTGACTTCACCGGCACGCTCATGATCGTCACGCTCAAGCTCGTGTCGGCCGCCATGGACTACCACGACGGTGCAAATCCGGTGGGTGGCCCTTTCGAATCATCTTTCCGGCCACGCCCATGGTCGTGTGTGCTGCCGTGGACCAGCAGGATGGCATGAGGGGGCAGGTCACTGTTCAGATGCGGCACAACAGCACCCATGGCGTGCACATCATTCGCCTGCTTGTCCAAGCGCAAGCTCGCCTCTGCTGCCGTGGACTACCTGGACGCTGCACGACCAGCACGTTCCCAAACCATTGCCACCTGCATGCTGGCGCCTGCCAAAGACTACCAGGACGGCAGGAGGCTGGTGCGTGCCCTCCTGTGGACGCCCACCGAGTGACAGATACCCAGGGCGATGGCTGGCAATCCATTGCCTCCCGCGCTCTCAGGGGTGTCACTCTCCACCTCCTATGTGCTGCACATCCCAAGCGGCCTCCTTTTTTCCTTCTCTACTTTCGTGGTTTATTGGTTCCTGGCTCCATCCCCCTTCCCCTTCCTTCCCACCTCTTCCCCCATCCGCCCCTCACCCCTGCTTCCATGCCTTCCCCCCCGTCCTCCTCCCCCACCCCCCTTTTCAGCGCACCAGCAGCACTTCCCCCACCCCCCTGCCCCGCCTGCCTGCACTGCTGCCCTTCCTGGGCTTCGTCTTCTTCCCAGCCGCCCTCCTTGTGGGGCCGCCCTTCCCCTACGCCGCATACGACGACTACATTGAAGGCCGAGGGGTGAGTAGAGCGAGGGAGTTAGCGTGGATAGGGGCGAGTGGCGGAAGGGAGTGAATGAGGCGGGAAGGGGCTTCTCTCGTCTCCCCTTGTGGGGCTGACCTTCCCTGTTGCCGCATCTGACGACTGCGTTGGAGGCAGAGAAGGGAGTGGGGAGAAGGGAGGGGTGAGTGGATGCTTGTGTTCAGGGTGGGGCCAATTCTGTTCTTCCCATGCGCTGCGTTGTGTACAAGAGGTACATGGAGGGCAGAGCGGTGAGTTGATGGAGGGGGTGCGGAAGGGGGTGAGGGTCGGTAGGCATGGACGGGGCGCACTGTGCGCGCTCCAACGTGCAGGGACGGGCTTTCCATCGCTTGCTCCCACCACTCCCTCCGCATCTCCCGTCTCCATCCCCCTGCTTCTCTCCTCCCTCTCCGTCCGCCCTCTGTCTCCCGCTGTCAGCTCTGGGCTTCCCTCTACCCACAGCAGCACCTACCACCACCCGGATCTCCGCCCTTCCCTCCTCGCCTGCTGCACGCCCTTAAAGCCCTCGTCAAGGCGCTGCTCTGCCTCGCCGCCTACCACACCCTCTCGCAGCTGCTCCCGCCCTCAGCGCTCCTGCAGCCTGCCTTCTTCTCCCGCTCCTTCCCAGCCAGGTGACCTACTCCTTCCCCGCCAGGTGACGTGCTCCTCCTCTGCTGCTTCTACTGTAACCACATACCTTGCCAAGTTGCCCCCCCTCCCGTCCCTCAAGCGGTCCCTTGCTCTCTCCTTTCCGCCTTGCCGCTCTTCCTCGCCACCCTCCCTGCCCGTCCTACCCTTGTACCCTTTCCTGCTCTCCCTCGTCCGCTGCGTCCCATTCTTCGCCTCCAGCCGTGTTGCCCTCCAGGCAAATGCGCCACGGGGCAAGTATCCTTGCCATGCACTCTCACCTTCTTGCCTTGGTCGCCGTCATTCCCAGCGGGCCCTCCGCCACCGTCTCCGATCGTCATTGGATCCCCTCCCTCGCCTCAGCCTCTCCCCGCCTCTCCAACACCACCACCTCCTCCTCCTCCTTCCCCCCAACCAGGTATCTCCACGTGGCGCTGACCCTCTTTGCCTACCGGTGGATGTTCTACTTCATCTGGGCCGTGGCTGAGGCCGCCCTCATCCTCTCCGCCTTCGGCTTCTCGGGCTTCAAGGCAACGAAGAACAGTCAAGGAAAGACAGATGGGGAGAGGAGGGATGGGGGGAGGAGCAATGGGCAGGAGGGAGAAGGCGGGCAGAAGCAACAGCAGTTGGAAGCAGACTGGTTAGTCAGTTATGCGCTGGCATGGAGCGGATGGCAGCTGGGCATGGCATGGCAGCATGGTATGGCATGGCAGCAGAGCATGGCATGGCAGCAGAGCATGGCATGGCAGCAGAGCATGGCATGGAGCGTGGGATATCATGGGGTGGCATCATGGATCATATCCTAATCTTTGCTGCGCCTCTCTACGCCCCTCTGAGGCTCTGCCCACACTTCATTCCCCTCTCTGAGGTTTCCACTCTCTGTGCGGTCCACACCCCCTGCGATTCCCTGTGTCCAGACCCCCTGCGATTCCCTGTGTCCAGACCCCCTGCGATTCCCTGTGTCCACACCCCCTGCGATTCCCTGTGTCCACACCCCCTGCGATTCCCTGTGTCCACACCCCCTGCGATTCCCTGTGTCCACACCCCCTGCGATTCCCTGTGTCCACACCCCCTGCGATTCCCTGTGCACTCCCCCGCTCAACTCGCCTTGTGTCTCCCTGCGTCACCTGCGCGCTGTGCATCCTCCTTCCTCGCCCTGCCTGCTGCCTCCCCGGCGTGTGGACCTTCTTTTCTCCTTCTGGGGCGCTGCCAGCCTCAGGCAGTCCGTGAAGTGGTTGCGAGTGGCCTCACCCCACCTGTCATCCCCTAACAGCAGCATGGCGTGCACTGTGCACATCGGCGTGGTGGAGGCCCTTGGCACTGCGGCTGAGCCTTTTGAAGTATGTCGGCATGACATGCCTCACCGCCCCATGTGTCCTCGCACCAGGAGCATGGGCAGCAGCAAGTGGCTGGAGTATATTTACATTCCATGCTCCGCTCTGCTAGACCCAAGAATATACATTCCTCTTTAACTGCCTTGCCGCATGGCGCGCCAGGAGCATGGCGTGCAACGCGCACATGTGGGTGGTGGAGGTGACGGGCAGTGCGGCGCAGCTGGCCACCAACTGGAACATCGGCGTCAGCAGATGGCTCCGCACATGTCAGTCCACCTCTCCCTCCGCACCTGTTAGTCCCCCTCTCCCTCCCCTCGCCCTCCCCCTCTGCTTCCCGCTCTCTCTGTCATGCGCATTGGTTTTGGCACGCAAGCCATCCTTGCACTGAGCAAAATCAGGTGCAGAGGACCAGGGGCATGCATGTGCTGTCCTGTCGATGCATGTTTCTGCTGGCCCCTTACCGTATTCACATCCATGTCCGTGTGAATGTCTATGTGCATGTGCATGTGCATGCAGATGTGTATGACCGCATGACCCCCCCATCAGGAAAGGCCTCCCTCACAACGCTTCTCATAACACAGGCTGTCAGCGCGCTGTGGCATGTGAGTCATAGGCACATGGCATGTTACGCATGGGCACATGGCATGTTACGCATGGGCACATGGCATGTGATGTGAGTCAAGGGCATGTGGCATGTGAGTCATGGGCACATGGCATGTGAGTGGTAGGCCTGTGGCACGTGTGTCATGGCAATGGGTGATGGGTGGCATGCATCGGGCAGGAAAGAAAACTGATATGGCCTCGTGAGCTGGCACCTATCTGCCTATCGACTTGACCACCCATCCACCCACCCATCCATCCATGCATCCATCCACCCATCCATCCATGCATCTATCCATCCATCCATCCATCCATCCATCCATCCATCCATCCATCCATCCATCCATCCATCCATCCATCCATCCATCCATCCATCCATCCATCCATCCATCCATCCATCCATCCATCCATCCATCCATCCATCCATCCATCCATCCATCCATCCATCCATCCATCCATCCATCCATCCATCCATCCATCCATCCATCCATCCATCCATCCATCCATCCATCCATCCATCCATCCATCCATCCATCCATCCATCCATCCATCCATCCATCCATCCATCCATCCATCCATCCATGCATGCATCCATCCATCCATCAAATCACCAATATCACCCACTCCTGATCGGTTCCCCTGCTCTCCCTTCTTTCTTGTGTGTTCCTTTGCAAGCATGCCTGTGCATGTGTATGCATGTATGTGTGCGTGTGTGCGCTCGTGCGCGCGCGCGTACGTACGTACGTTGGAGTGCATGGCATGTCTCACGATGCCCTGCCCTGCCCTTTCATTGCAGGGTCTCCATCCGGGCTATTACCTCTTCTTCCTCTCAGCAGCCATCGCTCAAGACGCCTCCAAATGCAAGCCTCCCCTCCGCCTGAGCTGAATGCTGGTGCTGGGATGATTTGCTGTGCCGACGTTCATGCCGTCATATCATGGTCCAAGCGCATCTGCTGACCTCAGTCTTTTGTAGCGATCGTTCTCCTCGTCCACCTGCTGTCCCGCATGTCACGTCCGCACCTCATGCCCCACAACCCCCACCCCATAGTGCTTCCCGTTTGATACCTTTGCCATCCCGCCTGCCCCTTCCATCCTGCCTCTCCCATTCTCCCCGCTCCCTGCTCCATCCCTCCTCTCCCCTCCACCCAGCCCCTGTGTTCCCGCAGTGCTGCAGTGCCTCTATCACTCCATCCCCCCTCACAGGCCCCCTCCACGCCCCCCTCCTATCCCCCCCATCCGGCCCGCGCCCTGGCAGTGCTGCACCGCCTCTACCAGTCCATCCCCCCTCACAGGCACTGGCAGCGCCGCCTGGCGTGGCTGGCTCAGGTGCTTTACACGCGGGTGCTCGTGGGGTATGCACCGCTGGGCTTCATTGTGAGTGATTCGAAATGAGAGAATTGGCTTGTTATGTCATGCTATGCTGAAATGTCCGACATGTGAATATGGCCTGACTAGTCTAGCTGTGAGTGCGCGTGACATACTGTACAAGTATTGACCCCTTTTTGAAGGGATTAGGGACAACCCGAGCAAGCAAAGCGTGTTTGTGAGTTTTTGACATGTTGTGAGCGCGTGGAACTTGGTGTCAGTCAGGGCATTGGCTGGTTGGCATGTTCTGGCTGGTGACAAGGGTTTCTGAGCCCGTGATGGCAGTCCCTCCCTTGGCCATTCTACTTGTCATGGTGAGAGCTAAGCAAGGCCCTGCCCTCTACTCCTGTATATGGACCCGGCTCGTCCTTCCCCATGACATATTTTGGTACCAGGATGCCTGTTTTCTTCACCTGAATTGCTTACATCAGTGCCTTTCATCATGATGCAGGCTCATTTTCTTTCCCTCCTGGCTCTTTCCTCCTGTGTGTGTCTGCAGCTGCTCCGAGCGGACCTCACCTTCAGAGTGTGGCGCTCCCTGTATTTCGTTGGCTCGGTCTTGCCTCTCGTTCTCTCTGCCTTACTTCCTCCACTCATTCCTCCACCAAAACGGCAAAAGAAAGACTCATGAAGAAGCCGCTCGCCCTCAAAGAGCAGGAGGATTGCGGTCATCGTGGGATTGCCTCTCCTCATCTACCAACATGTTTACAGTATTCCCCCGGATAATGGACCTGCCGGTAAGAAAGTCCATGGGTCCTTTACCCTGGGGTGGGATCATTTATTTTGGCAGACCTCGTGAGGACCCGCTTTTTGGCATTTAACATTTCAAGACCCCCCAGCTTTGTTTTCGTGTTGGTTTTTCCACTGTAAGTTTTACTGAAATGAAGCGGTACATGAAATCAGGGATGGCAGATTCACTATAACTGGGCCTTCGTTCTTGCAGCAGGGGTGATGGGATGGCAGTCAAAATGCCATCGCGTCACGTCAGCACGCAAAAATTTGCAGCCATCACTGCTGGAAATTTGACGCGTGTCATTCAGGTGGCACGGAAAGGTGACGATAAGAGGGTTTTGTTGTCAAACATGTGTAGTCGTTATGTTTGTATAGACTGTATAGGGTCACCTCTTAGAGGGTACAATTCTTAGGTATATCTTTCTGTACTCTCTCACTAGTTATTATTCTCTTCTCCAATTCTGATATGGTATCACGCGTAGGTAGGATCCCCCCCCCCACCTACCGCTTCCGCTCGCCCCCCCCCTAGCCCCGTCGTGCCCCTAGCCCCGTCGCAACCCCCCTAGCCCCGTCGCGCCCCTTCCTGGGCCCCGTAGCGCCCCTCCTGGGCCCCGTCGCGCCCTTCTTGGGCCCCGTCGCGCCCCTCCCAGGCCCCGTCGCGCCCCCCCCTAGGCCCCGTAGCGCCCCTCCTGTGCCCCGTCGCGCCCCTCCCAGGCCCCGTAGCGCCCCTCCTGGGCTCCGTAGCGCCCCTCCTGGGCCCCGTCGCGCCCCTCCTGGGCCCCGTAGCGCCCCTCCTGGGCCCCGTCGCGCCCTTCCTGGGCCCTGTAGCGCCCCTCCTGGGCCCCGTCGCGCCCCTCCCAGGCCCCGTCGCGCCCCTCCTGGGCTCCGTAGCGCCCCTCCTGGGCCCCGTCGCGCCCCTCCCTGGCCCCGTCGCGCCCCTCCTGGGCTCCGTAGCGCCCCTCCTAGGCCCCGTAGCGCCCCTCCTGGGCCTCGTCGTGCCCCTCCTGGGCCCCGTAGCGCCCCTCCTGGGCCGCGTCGAGCCCCTCCTGGGCCCCGTCACGCCTTCAGGCCCTGTCGCCCCCTGCCCGGCCCCGTCGCAACCGCCCAGCCCTGTCGCACCCGTCCGGCCCTGTCGCGCCCGCCCAGCCCCGGTGCGCCCCTCCTGGACCACCGTCCTGCTCGCCCGGCCCTGTCGCACCGGCCCGGCCCCATCGCACCAGCCCGGCCCCGACGCACCCGCCCGGCCCTGTCGCACCAGCCCGGCCCCGTCGCGCCCGCCCGGCCCCGTCGCACCCGCCCGGCCCCGTCGCACCAGCCCGGCCCCGTCGCACCAGCCCGGCCCCGTCGCGCCCGCCCGGCCCCGTCGCACCCGCCCGGCCCCGTTGCACCGGCCCGGCCCCTGCTCTCGTCCCTGCCCCGGCCCCGGTCCTCCTCACTGGTACGGCCCCCCCCCCCCGCACTGCACTGCCCCGCACCACCCTGTCCTGCCTAGCACCGCACTGCACCGCCCTACACCGCACTGCACCGCACTGCGCCGCACTGTACCGCACGGCACCGCACTCCACTTTGCTGCACTGCCCTGCACCGCACTGCACTGTTCCTGATGGCGGCGGAGCTTCGCTTCGACGCTGAAGGCCAGCCCCTGGAGTTCGAGGTGTGGCTTGCCGACCTCCGTCGCCAACTCACTGGCCAGCGGCAGGATGGTGAACCGCTTTCCGCACACCTTGACGGTACGCTCCCCTGCCCAGACCCCCTTGCTATTCTGCCCGCTGACTCCACACCCACTGAGCGCGAGTCCACTGCTGCCACTGCCCGTGCGCGCTCTGTCTGGCTTTCTCGCGATGCTGTCGCCCAGCTTGCCATTAGCAACGCCCTTCCCCCGTCCGAGCGCCCTCGCTTTAGGTCTATCACTACTGCCCAAGCATACTTAGATGCTGTCATCCAGCGCTATTCCACCCCTCCGGCTGCCTCGGTGGGTCGCCTGATCCTCCCGATGCTCTTTCCTGACCTTGCCTCTTTCCCCACTGTCTCTGACCTCGCTGCCCACCTGCGCTCGATAGATGAGACCTGGCGCGCAGCCTGCACTGATGCACAGCTTAGAGCCCACAAGCCGCCCATTACCTCTACCCTCTACCAACTTGCCACCCGCCTCCCTGACCGCCTTGCTGTCGCCCGCGACCGCTTCCTTAGCATTCACCCCGCAGACCTCACCCTCACTGACTTTGTAGACACCCTGACTGTGATAGAGACCCGTCACCGCTCCATCGCCCAGGCGAGCGGTGTCGTGCCGGTCCCTATCTTTCAGGGTTGTGCCCCCGCCCAGTGTACCTTCTTCGACGGCTCTGCCGCAGTGGCTGAGACTGCTGCTGCAGCGCAGTTTCATTCGGCGAAGGGCCGCCGCCCCAAGGCTGGGCGCGGCGGCGGCGGCGGCGGGGGTGCGGGAGGGGGTAGTAGTGGTGTCGGGTCGTCTGGTGCTGGCGCGGACGAGGGGACCCTGCCCAGTCCAGCTGAGCCGCCGCCCCTGCAGTTGCAGCAGCCGCAGCAGGCGCCGCAGTCGCAGCCTTCGCAGCAGCCGCAACAGCCGTCGCACCCGCGGCAGACGAGTGTCCTCCCGCCCGGGTGGCCCGGCGCAGGCGGTGGTCGGGCGCGTGGTGGTGTGCCGAGTGGTGGCTCTGGCGGCGGGCGTTGCCAGTACCAGATCCAGACCTGTCCTCGCCGCGGCTTCGTCTGCGGTAAGATCGGTCACTCCACTCCCCGCTGTTTTCGTCGCCTGGACGACCTCTTTCGTCAGCGCTTCGGCCCGTCGCCAGACCTCCCGGACTGGCATAGTTTGCTTAGTCGTAACATTCAGATTTTTGATATGGACATGGATGCCATTGTTTCTGCTCTGCATGTGATGTATGCTGATGACTCTAGTGTGCTTCCCGCTTATTACTCACTGTTGCCTAGTGTAGGTGTGCCTAGCTTAGCCTCCCCTGCTGCGTCAGGCGTAGGATCCTGTGCTTTGTGTAGTCTTGGTGCTTCTGCCGTCGTTCCGTCGCCAGACGCCTCTGCTTCGCTTTCCTTCACCTTGGACTCTGGCGCTTCTCGGTGTTTCTTCCGCGACTCCACCACCCTGACGCCGCTTCCTGTTCCAGCTGCCGTTTCTCTTGCTGACCCCTCCGGCGGTCCGGTAGTCGCTCGCAGTTCCACCACCCTTCCCTGTCCGGCGGTTCTTTCGGGCACTCTCACAGGTCTGCATATCCCCTCGTTCTCCAGGAACCTAGTTGGTGTCGGCTGCCTCCAGGACCTTGGCGTCACCACTACGTTCCCTGGTCACGAGCGGTATGCTGTCTGTACCGAGGCCGCCACTGGTGCCCCCCTGTCCACGTTCCCCCGGGACCCGGTGTCCGGCCTGTTCACTCTGGACACCGTGACCCCCCCGGCTGGGGCACCCCCTCAGGTGGCTGCGTCTACCCAGGTTGTTGCTGCCTGCTCCTGTCGGTCCCTCACTCACCCGACTCTCCTTTGGCACCACCGCCTAGGTCACCCTGCGCTCCCGCGTCTGCGTCACATGTCCCAGCACGGTCTCATCCTTGGTCTCCTTGGTTCTCTCCCCGCTTTTCCCTCCTCCCCAGCCCCACCTTGCACGCCTTGCGTCAAGGGTCGGCTCCGCCGTGCCCCTCAGTCCTCCTCGTTTCCCCCTACCGCTGCGCCGCTGCAGACCCTGCACCTGGACGTCTGGGGCCCCGCCCCCATCCCTGGGCTGCGTCGAGAGCGCTACTTCCTTGTGCTTGTCGACGACTTCACTCGTTACACCACAGTCTTTCCCCTGGAGCGCAAGGCCGACGTGCCTGGCGCTCTCATCCCCTGGCTTGTCTCTGCGCGTGTCCACCGCGGTCTCCCTGTCTTGCGTCTTCACTCAGACCGTGGTGGCGAGTTTGCCTCAGGTGTCCTTGGTCGCTTTTGTCGTGCGGAGGGCATCACCAAGACGTTCACCCTACCGGACTCCCCACAGCAGAATGGGGTCGCTGAGCGACGCATCGGTTTGGTCATGGAGGTGGCTCGCACCTCCATGATCCATGCCGGTGCACCCCATTTTCTGTGGCCGTTCGCTATGCGCTACGCTTCTCACCAGCTTAACTTGTGGCCGCACCCTCAGCAGCCGCAGGTTTCGCCGACCCGTCTTTGGACTGGGTCTCCTGGTGACGCATCTGCGTTCCACGTCTGGGGCTGCCTTGCTCATGTCCGTGCCTCCGGCACGGACAAGCTCACTGCCCGCACCCTTCCCTGCGTCTTCCTCGATTTTCCCCTTGACGCGTCCGACTGGCACTTTTACCACCCGCCGTCTCACCGCTTCTTTCACTCTCGTGATGTCACCTTTGACGAGTCTGTCTCCTTCTACCGTCGCTTCCCCCACCGTGGTCCCCCGGTTACCCCCCCCCTGTTCCTGGTCACTCCTTCCTCGGTCGTCCCTGCCCCTCCTCCTCCTCCTCCCCGTCCCGCCCCCACTGGTGTGTCCCACGTCACCCCGCTTCCGTCGGTGGACCCGGTTGAGGAGTCTTCTGACTCTGGTGGCCCTCCGGTTCAATCCTCGCCGGCCGCCCCTCCCCTGGCGTCCTCTCCCCAGTCCCCCCCTCCACCGCCGCTGCCGCCGCTGCAGCCGTCGTTGTCGCGGCCGCCGCCGCCGCCGCCGCCGCCGCCGTCGCAGCACCCGTTCGCTGACTCTGGGGGTGCTCGTCCCGATAGCCCTGGGGGTGGTCCCTCTGGGGGTGCTGGTGTGGAGAGTGCCGGTGGTAGCCGAGGCGCAGCTTCCGGTCCAGGTGTCGCCGTTGTGCCGCCGCAGCAGCAGTCCCCGCCGGTGTCAGCCCTTCGCCTGCTCGGCCTTCCGTCCCCCGACCCTGACCGGTTCCTCCCCGACCGTCTCCTCCTCTTCCTGTCTACGGCCCTGTCTTCCCTCCCCCGGACTCGTCCCCTGCCCGTCTCCCCCCTCGTTCCCCTCCTGTGTCCCCTCCTCTGTCTCCTGACCCGACTCCTCCGTCACACGTCTGGTCTCACCGTCCCTCCCGTGCTCGTCCTGCCTCGCCTGTTTTGCGCTCCCACCCTATGTTGCTTCGTTCCCACGCGTCTCGTCCTCCCCTTCTGCCGTCACCTCCTCCGTCCTCCCTTGTTGTTGCGCCCCCCCCGCTGTCTGACTACCTTCGTGCCGCTCGTCCCCTTGTTCCTCGGGTCCTTGCCTCTCTCGTTACCGACCCGTCTGTTCCGGCCTCGTGCCTTGACGCTCTTGTCGCTGCTGTCGCTGACTTCGCCTCTACCCGCCGCCTTGACTACGCCTCCGCTCTGGTCTCTGACC